TTGATCTCGCTAGGAGCTGCAGACTGGAGCTCTTCCTATTCAGCCATCTTGCCACTTTTCAAATAGTACTTTTTATTGCACATGGGAGGGTATGAAAAGCCCAATTCAGAGATCCTGAGCTTTCATTTCTACACATCCATTAAAAATCCTTAACAGGCTGGGTGTGGTGGCTCATGCCTGTAATCCCAGCACTTTGGAAGGCTGAAGCAGGTGGATCACAAGGTCAAGAGATTGAGACCATCCTGGCCAACATGGTGAAACGCCATCTCTACTAAAAATATAAAAATTAGCCGGGCGTGGTGGCTTGTGCCTGTAGTCCCAGCTACTCGGGAGCCTGAGGCAGGAGAATTGCTTGAACCTGGCAGGCGGAGGTAGTAGTGAGCCGAGATCGCGCTACTGCACTCCAGCCTGGTGACAGAGCAAGACTCTGTCTCAGAAAAAGAAAAAAAAAAGAGAGAGAGAGAGAGAGAGAAAAATCCTTAACAGCTGAGAAGGGCTAGAGTTTAAGTGCTGCACTCTGGCAAGCAGCTCCTTTGACCCCAGGCACTTCACTCCCCATTTCTCTCTCAACATTCAGCAAGGATCCTGGAGTCACAGGTGTGAGATGCAGGTGTTGTTCATTTGTCCTGATATTCAAAATCTGACTGATGAGTTTAGTAATTATGTCAAAATTTCCTCTCTCACATTTCAAACTTTCATAGTTCTTGCTAGAGCCTCATTTTCAATAAACTAAACCAAATAAGGATACAAATGTTGAAGGCAGCAAATATAAAGCTTTTAATAAGCCCATATGCAATATTGTTTAGTTTTTTTAATGTAACAAATTCCAAGTTATAATTCTGAACACCATAAGTTAATTGGGCAGTGTTCACCTCGTCTTATTCATAGTGATAGGGAAATATGTGATTCTAAAGAAGGTATGGGAACCAGCACAGTTGAATTAAATCTCATTCATTTTACCATCCATTTCATCTGTGAATCTTATTAGCATACCTAGAGGACCAATCACATATGAAAAATGCAGCAGAAAATAAGAAAATACTCATAACTAGGGTAGAGGAAGCCTACCAGTCACTGAAATGCACAAACAGTAGCATCTGACTACTTTGGGAAGCGAGTGCACTGGAGTAGAATGGAGATTTACTGAGAGGCATTGCAATCATCTCAAACACTGACAGGAATGTCAAGTGGAAGCGCTGGCATCTATGATACAGTGTGCACCAAGCTCTCTCAAAGAGCGCTTACACACATGTAGGCAAAACTGTATTTCACATCATTGTTTTAAAAAATAATAATTCTGACATTTTAAACTGCAGGTTTCATATACATAAAAACTTGTGTGGTTTCTCCATTTCTCTGAAAAATACATTTTTCCTCGTTATAGTTTATTTTAATTCCCATGTTAGGTCAGGACACCATTTATAGTTTAAGAAAATTAGGGGGAATAAAAGGTCAGTGTAGGGTTCAGTGTTGTAGTGGAAAAATATCTGGCTGCTATATTTTATGGAATGTTTTGCAATCACTTTTAAAATCTCTGGAAAGTTAAAGCTGAAGAACTTTATAGAAATTAAGGAGTTATTGGCAAGGCCTGCTGACTGAGACAGGTCAGTGGAAATATACCAATCACCACCCCCACCACTGCCAAAAAAAAAATCGTAATTCAGGTTCTCCCTTTTCTTTCTCTAACAGTTGCCTGCCATCTAGTGGATATAATGCAGTCAAGTCAGCAAGTGCTTTCCTTTCAAAGCAATCAAGGGTGTTTATTGAATCATGTAATAATGTCATTTGAATAAAAACAAGGACAGGAGCTTATCCTACAGCACACCCCCCAGAATAAAACCACCTCTGGTGAAGACTTAAAGGAACTATGAAAAGTCTCAAAAAACAGATCATTTTTGTGCTTGGCTAATCAAAAACCAATTCCTTTTAAAGCCAAGCAACATTAAATAAAAAGAGAATTGCTATTTTTATGCTTTCTTTGCATGTTCTTGTGCTTAGTCTACAAATAACCTTATTTTGCTTCAGCATATTATAATTTTAACATGAGTGTTAAAAATCATTTAATCGATAATTATTAAAGCTAGATATATAAGACCAACTCTTAGATTTACAACCTAGTGAGGAAGAAAAAGAAATCCAAATGCTCAACTAGCAACTGTGCTAACTTATGTGGTCCAAAGGAAGGAAAGGACAGTGAGGAGGAGAGAGACCTTCATAGTGACACTTGAGGACTTGAGGTGTGTTTTGAGTTAATTAAAGACAAATGACCAAGTCCCTGGGCCTGGAGACAGTGAAGATACTTTTGACAGGAATGGGGAATTTATATCTTACTATAAAGCAAAAGGAAAATGAATCTATAATGAAATAGGCTCACGAGATTGGTCATTCCAGATTAACCTGGCCATACTGTAGGCTGACCAAATATCACCCAAGCACCTAGTGCAACATCATGAAGATCTTTATGAAAGAGTTAAATTATATTGCTACCACCCTCTGAGCTCTTAGATCCCTCATTATTTGTGACAGTTGAGCAAATGCTGCCTAATTGTAAGTGGAAACAAATGCCCTAATTGGACTCTAAGAATACTCTTGCAAGACTTCCTGTTAGCCAAAGAGAAGCTCTGTTTGCCAGACTCTTAAAATGTCTGAGAAGGGAAATCGGCGTTTATAGAGCCAGGTGCAATAGTGAACTCCCAAATCATCCTTTCAGGTGTTCCCTTTTGCCAACAGGTGAGGCTAAACAGCCCTTTGGAGGCTTGGGCTGCTTTCTAGGGCCAGCGTGGAGCACTCACCATTTTCAGGAGCTGATAACTATTCTTCTTTCATTTCTCCCAAACCAACTTTTTATATTTGAAAGTTTAAACTACTGTTCAGCTCACTTTAATATGAATTTTAAAGTGCTTTAAATTTTAAAGCAATTCTTGGTTCCACAGTTAAATATTTCTGTTCCCATTTGCCTGTTCTTTGATTTGGGACTCCATCCTGTTTACAGGGACTACATAACCACCATGAGAATTATCCTTTTTTAATCTACTCTCTACTTATGTTCTTTTGTGTAATCCTATAAGATGAGTATTGTTACCTCACTTTTACAGACAAGAAAATCGGAGGCTATGCAAATTGCCTAACATTACACAGAAAGTAACAAAGTAGGGATTTGATTTTAGATTTTTCTGATTTCAAATTGTGTGTGTGTGTGTGTGTGTTGTTTTTTACTGGGCTCTGCGGCTTTCTACTAAGGAATACATCTTTTGCCCTTCTGTTGGAGCTGTAACCTTTATATACATTTCTTCATGACTCACAAACCTTGATTGAATCAGATGAATTCAATATGGAAAAGGCCTTTTAGGTCAGGGAGTACTACTTCCTGCCAAGGCTAGGATTTTTCTGTATAAAGCATTTATTTTTCCAAACACATTTATAATAAATATCACATTTTTCTATTGCATACCCCCTATGAAGCCATCCCAATATCCAAGATTGCCATGTAAATGCTGTCAAATATTTCCCAACCCCCATTTCCAGCCTGTCACAGTTACAGTTTCCCACTCTCCAACTTTTCTGTTTACCAAATAGAAACATTCTTCCATTTCTACTCAAGGGAATAATCTTTTCAGTGGCTAAGGTATCACTTAACTGCAATAGACAGAGCAGGTCAACAGATACTTTCTGTCACTAGCAAAAGACTTTGCAAAGAACAAAATGACCTCAACCAAAACCTTAGAGAGGCTGAGTATTCTCAGGGGCCCCGCTAGTGGTCACATCTGTGGTAAATACTTGCTCCTAAGGTTCTTTAGGAAAAAGAAGTGGGTAAGGACCCATGTGAGTCCCCAGCTCTCAGAGAATTATTAGCTGGCCTATTGAAATAGCATATTCACTGAAGGGTTCCTATGGGAAAAAAAGTTTCAGTTCCCTTTGAGTGTTTCCCAAACATTAAAAGAACTATTTCACTGGGCCGCAACCACATAAATTGCATGAGAAGCAACTTGTACTCTGTCCCAATCAAACTCTGCCAAGCCGAGAGATCTAGAAGCTCAAGGTCCTCATAGACAACAAAAACCAAAGTCAGAGTATCAGAATCTTCCATTGGGTTCTCCTCATTAAGCAAGAGATTTACAATAAGGTAGTAAATATTTAGAAGACGTCATTAAAACTTGCAGTAATGTCAAATACACACATCAGTTTAAAATTTGAAAGGGATATTAGGTCACCTTAGTGAGGGTTATTTTCATGACTCTGGTCCCTACAAAGACAGCAGAGAAGATCATAGAAAGCCAAAACTAGAATCAGAGACCAGAGACAATGGCTGCCACATCTCCCTCAGTGCAGGCAAAACCCCGAAAAGCCAGATGCCCTGTATTAGTCCGTTTTCACACTGCTAATAAAGACATACCTGACACTAGGCAAGTTACAAAAGAAAAAGGTTTTATTGGACTTACAGTTCCACATGGCTGGAGAGTCCTCACAATCACGGCAGAAGGCAAGGAGGAGCAAGTCACATCTTAAGTGGATGGCGGCAGGCAAAGAAAGCTTGTGCAGGGGAACTCTCTCTCTCTTTTTTTTTTAAACCATCAGCTGTCCTGAAGCTAATTTACTATCACGAGATCAGCTCAGGAAAGACCCGCCCCCATGATGCAATCACCTCCCACCAGGTTTGTCCCATAACACGTGGGAATTATGGGAGTACGATTCAGGATGAAATTTGGGTGGGGACACAGAACCAAACCATATCATACCCCTTCTACTGGAGATACATTTTACAATGAACAAAAGTTAAAGGACTTTTCTGAAACTTAACTGGGGCAGGGGACAGGGGGTTGGGTGGAAACTCACAATTTCGGAGCTCCTAAAAATCTGTAAACGAAACAACTTAACAGAAGCTAAGAAGACAGAATCAGAGAGCCCTGAGTCCAAATCCTACCTTGCTACTTTCCATCTTAGAAAACTAACTTGACGGCGTGGGGCTCGCTGTGGGGCTGAGGCAGGCAGCCGGGCTGGCCATGGCAGGGGCCGCAGCGGGCGGCAGAGGCGGAGGTGCCTGGGGGCCGGGGCGCGGAGGGTCGGGGGTGCTCCGACGGGGCTGCTCTCCCCCAGCCCCCGCCGGCTCCCCCCGGGCTGGGCTGCAGCCGCTCAGGGCCACGATCCCCTTCCAGCTGCAGCAGCCGCACCAGCGCCGGGACGGGGGTGGCCGTGCAGCCAGCGTCCCATGCTCGGTGGCCCCAGAAAAGTCAGTGTCTAGGCCTCAGCCACTTCAGGTCCGGCGTACATTCTCCCTGGACACCATCCTCAGCTCCTACCTTCCGAGCCAGTGGCCACGAGATGCTGATGGGGCCTTCACCTGCTGCACCAATGACAAGGCCACCCAGACACCCCTGTCCTGGCAAGAGCTAGAAGGTGAGCGTGCCAGCTCCTGTGCACACAAGCGCTCAGCATCCTGGGGCAGCACAGACCACCGAAAAGAGATTTCCAAGTTGAAGCAACAACTGCAGAGGACAAAAGCTGAGCCGCAGTGGGAAAGAGAAGGAGCGAGGTTCCCTACTCCCAGGGGACCACGCAGTGCGGGGAGCACTGAGGGTGTCCCCTCCCAGCTTCCCCTCAGGGTCCCCTGTCTTGCGACTCAGCCCCTGCCTGCACAGGAGCCTGGAAGGGCTCAACCAAGAGCTGGAGGAGGTGTTTGTGAAGGAGCAGGGAGAAGAGGAGCTGCTGAGGATCCTTGAGATCCCTGATGGGAACCGGGCCCCAGCTCCTCCCCAGAGTGGCAGCTGTGATCATCCCCTCCTCCTCCTGGAGTCTGGCAACTTTGCCAGCTCTCCTTCCATTTCCTTGGCATCCCCCCAGCCTTGTGGCCCGGCCAGTCATGAGGAACACCGGGGTGCCGCCGAGGAGCTGGCATCCACCCCCAACGACAAAGCCTCCTCTCCAGGCCACCCAGCCTTTCTTGAAGATGGCAGCCCATCTCCTGTCCTTGCCTTTGCTGCCTCCCCTCGGCCTAATCATAGCTACGTCTTCAAACGGGAGCCCCCAGAAGGCTGTGAGAAAGTGCGTGTGTTTGAAGAAGCCACGTCCCCAGGTCCTGACCCGGCCTTCCTGACTTCCTGTCCTGACAAGAACAAAGTCCATTTCAACCCGACCGGCTCAGCCTTCTGCCCCGTCAACCTGATGAAGCCCCTCTTCCCTGGCATGGGCTTCATCTTCCGTAACTGCCCCTCAAACCCGGGGTCTCCCCTTCCCCCGGCCAGCCCCAGGCCACCACCTCGGAAGGATCCGGAGGCCTCCAAGGCCTCCCCACTGCCCTTCGAGCCATGGCAGCGCACCCCACCATCAGAAGAGTCTGTGCTTTTCCAGAGCTCCCTGATGGTCTGAGGGTCCCATCCCTGCCCCACTTTACCATAGAGACCAGTGCCTTGGTGGCAGGTCCCTCCCCAGGTCCCCTGAGATGGGGTATGGAGGGGCCCTTCCCTCTCGGCCTTTGAGCACTTTCTTTCACTTATCGTGTCAAAGTCCTGGGTCCTCTTTTTGATGGGCACTGGCCCCTCTGAACGTGATGGGACCTGCCTTCTCCACTAGCAGCTGGGCAGCTCACAACTCACACCTGTGTAGCTGCCACATCCCTCACTTCGTGGAAAACACCCAGAAGGTCTGGAGTCCCTCACCCCTGGGTGTCAGTCCAAATGACTGTATAGGAGGCCCTTATTTTTGTCACAGAGCAAGCTGGCCATGAATGAAGGAGAGAGGACGCCATAGATTTCCTTCCCTCCCTTCCAGGAGACCATAAGATAGATCCCCCATCCTCTCAGCCCTATCCCGACGCCTCCCTCTCATTAGAGGAGCTGACCAAAGCAGTCCTAATGGGCCATAACACTTGACCAATTCAGCTGCTGGCAGAAGGAGGAAACAAGTGTTTCCCCAAGTGGCATTTTCATCTCGCTTTCACCCTGACTAAAGATTGTCTTAAGTAGCAGGCCAGCCTGCCCAGCCCCAGGTGGGTAGTGGGGAGGAGAGTTGGCATTCCTCCAGGTGGCAAATGGCAAATCTATATTCTCCGCCCGCCCCAGGGCTGGATTGGATTAGAAAAATGCCTATTTTTCTTGTATCGATGTAGAAACTCTATTTTCTCCCAAAGACACTATTTTTGCAGCTGTTTGAAGTTTGTATATTTTCCGTACTGCAGAGTTTACACAAAATTGAAGAATGTTAATGTTCGAGTTTTCTTATCTTGTGTTTAGAGGTTGTTTTTTGCAGATCTTGGTGTTAATAGACCAAATAAATAAATAAATATTCCCAGCAAAAAAAAAGAAAACTAACTTGACTTCTCAGAACCACACATTCCCTGTTCGAAAATTGGAAGTGTTGTGAGGATAAAATGAAATAATGTCTGGAAGCACTTGACAGACTGCCTAGTGCATCCTGTGAATTCAAGAAAAGGCATTTACCAAAACCGAGGAGGCTATTAGTGTTGTTACCATCTCTAATTGTTCATTAACAAAATAGACACTGTATATAAAAATTTTAATCTAGTATAGCAAAGCCCTGGTCCATCTTTACCAACCTCACCACCACTTCAGACACACCAGAGGGCTGCTCATCCATTGCCTTCAAAATCGCATCAAATAGGCTATTCAGTACATTCATGCACAAAATCAACTTTAAATCTCTAAAAAGTATGGCGGAGTCTAGCAGACCTCCTATTATATGTTATTAAAGTCTGATCTGCCAAAGACCACTGGAGGCAAGCCAGTACTCTAACAAACTCAGATTTATCAATGTAGATGCAGCAAGGGAGGGCACAACCAAGCAAACACAGAATGCTACTCAGCAGGTAGGAGGAGGGAAGCAACTTTTCTAAAGTTTGTCTTCTGTGAAAGATTCTGAGGAAGATCTAAGGGAAGCAGGGACAAGTTCTACATTGGTTGCTGTTTCTTGGGGCAAGACTAGGAAAAATAAGGATTAACTAGGGACTGGGCGCTGTTATGAGGCAAGGTTGGTTTAGCAATTGGATGTCTCCAGTAATGGATGGGCAAAGTGGATCTGTATATTGGGTATAAAGGGAACTCTCTGTGCTATCTCCGCAACTTTTCTGTAAGTCTAAATAGTCATAATAGTCCTTTAAATATTATTATTTTAACCCTAAAACTCTTCACCAAAGGAAACTGCCACCTCACCACTCTGCTCACTGGTCCTCTGGTCTCACATTGAGTTACCAAGGAACCCCACTGGGCAGAACACTCCTGGTGTGGTTTGAAATCCTCAGTTTGGGCCGTCTCCCGAGTCACCCTTTCCAGAAGCAGATTGTACTGTTGGCTCATATTGTACTTGTGGAAAACTAAGATCCCTGAAGTTTATCCTATCTAAACTGGTAATAAGTCAACTGTCCTTTTAACCTTCCTCTCCGAACTGTACTCATGTAGCCTGTTCTTTAAGCCAAGCCTAGAGCGTTACTGTTAATGTTTGTCCTGTAAAGTTCCTCCTCTGTCAGTGCTATGACATAGTAGAAGAGGACTAAGAATCAGAAATTCCAGGTGCAGATTCTAGTTCTCCAACCAGTTGCATAACTTTAAACAGGCCACTCTATTCCTCTGGGTGTCATTTCTTTGTAAAATAAGCATGTTGTCACTAGACAGTCTCCCAGCCCTAACATCCTATCATCTCTCCTCATGCTTCAATCACACTAGGAGTCAGACTATTGCACTAGACTTTTATCTTTATTTTATCTGCATTTTGTCTTTATTTTGCTGACGAATAAAATGATTCCGGTATGCCAATTAAATTGACCAATATATAGCTAGAGGATTCTAGCAAGCACTTTCAGGGTCTAAACTCTCTTTTCCCTACACACAACAGCCTCCCCTTAACCTTGTTGGGTCCTCCTGCATCCTCCATCTCTCCTTTCCCCCTGCACACAAAGCTATCAAAAATCTTCTTAGCCTGGAAAAACATTTTCCGCCCCCATACAACCTTCATTAGCTACTCCATCCTGTTCCTTCTCATGCAACTTCTCAAAGGGGCTATCTGTACCCCTGTTTGCATATTATCATTTACTTATTTCTTCATCCCCTGAAAATCAGATTTATTTTCCTACGTGCTTCTAAAACTGGTTTCTCAACCAGTAAACCTAGGGGCCTTGTCTCCATCATTATCTTCATTGACCTACCTGATACTGCATCTCTGACTCTATTTCCTTCTGCCCAGAGTTTCTCTGAGGCTTCATTTGAACTATTCTCTTTTTTAGAAAGCTTCAACTATCATCTCTATACAAATGCCTCCCAAGTCTTCCTAACTAGCTCTGAATTTCATTCATAAGTGACAGGATCATTTTATCGGGATACTAACTTTGGCCTCTCCCTGCATTTTCCTCTTCTGCTATTTCAGACAGGCAGCTGAGCCCTTAGAGATTCCTTATGTCAGGGCATTTTTGCTTCATAGAAATCTGAAGGCTCTTCAGCTCCCTGCTCAGCTTCTAGCCTCATTTGCTAATACAACCTACTAGATAGAAATTCTGTCCAACTGGCTATGGGCAGAGCTGTGGTAGCCGTTGTCCAGGAGTACTACTACTAACTAAAAGGCTATAAAGCAGGTAATAGGCCAGAGTGATATTTAGCAGTAGGTTAGAGCATTAACAGGCATTTTGCCAATATCTCATAAAAGTACAGAAATGTTCTCTTTTCAGCCAGAGGAAGAACAAGCGATAAAGTTTAAGAGGAGGTCTGGTTACCTAGATGTGTAAATAAATATAGTTTGTTTTAAAGCCGAGAACATTTTTTAAAATCCTTATCCATTTACATGTCATGGAAACAGTCAAAACAATCCATATGACAACTTTTTAGTGCAAACAAGAATTTGCTGTAGAGATTGCTGAAACAAAACAGAAACACACCAAGAATAAAGTGAGAAGACAGCTAAACTGAGCACTCAACACACTAAAAAAAGGAAGAAGAATCTCTCTTCATTGAAAGATGTATTTATGAACACTAATTAAATGTCTTTCAATGTTTTGTGAAACAGATGGGAACTTTATTTGTTGTAAGGATTTAGAGATAATGTAGAATTGAAGAGCAAAGCTTAAAAACCCGGAAACCCCACCACCATCACTTATTCTACCCCCCAAAATTAATATTCAATTAAAAAACTAAATTTAGTCACATCTTTTTAAAAGACCACATTATTTATTAGTATGATAAAAGCTGAAAATTAAAGTATTTCTGTAGTTTTTAGACTACATTCTTTATATTTTCTAAAACAGTGATGCTTGTGGGAAGACAATAATTTTGAAATTGGTACCACGTGTTGCAATGTAACAGCCTTTCTATTGAGTTAGGTCACTTATGGATTATTTAAGGACAGTTTTATTTTCTATTTCTTCTTGAATTCGTTTTTCCTATGAAAGCATATCCATGGTAACAGTTTAACATTGATGAAGAATTCCCAAAGCCACCTTGCTGGGTTGGAAATCTTACTGCCTGAGATGGGCCTGGTTTTTCAATCATGGGGGTTCATTTCGGAACATCAATTTGAGGGAAGGATGTTATGTATATGAAAATATTTTTAAACTAATCAAATAACATCTGACTCTGAGAGAAAATTACAAAATATGGCTCTAACCATCCTGGGGAGAGAAAAAGTGTGAGAGGTGTTAAATTCAGATTAGGAATGTGTCGTGTATTCAGGAAGACAAACTAAGAAAGGGGACAGGAGGGAACATTAAAGAGTACAAGTTGTCCTTCATCTCTATTTTTCCCCTTATGAAAGGAAAATAAAATATTGGGACCCCAAACTCACTATGCCAAAAAGAAAAGTGAAGCTCGGAAACTGAGTCATGCAAAAACAGCTGTCTCTCCTTTTGTTCCTAAACAGCTACAAATAGAAGTCCACATATCTTCACAGGGGGCCTCCCTCACCAGACAAATGTAAATTGACAGCTTATCTTCATGGGTGTGGGACAGAGGAGACTAGAAATAGCCCCTCCACCCACCTTGAGATGAATGCTTATTGGACATCTTCCTCTACTCTATGTTTACTTTATCTTATGTCAAATATAGACCTACTGAGTATAAGATGAATACATAATTAAAAACTCCTCTACCCACTCCTCTTCCCATGCAACATATGGATTCAGTGAGTGCTACTCAAAGCCTCAAAAGAATGTAACCGCTTGTCTCATTTGTCTCTTTTTTTTTCTCCTTATCCTCCTGCCTGCTTTTTCCCCTTTAAGTATTAAAGCCCTCAAAATTCTCTTTGGAAAAAGTACAGGCCAAAGTGGCTTGTGTCTTCTTTCCTTGGATGCATCCTCAACCTTGGCAAAATAAACCTCTAAACTGATTGAGAACTATCTTAGACACTTTTTTGGTTTACACCCTTCTAATAGTAATCCACATTTCAGCTACACACCTGACCACTTTCAATAAGCACTAAATTTCCAACAAGTTAGATGTGGCTCAGTGATCTTTAACCCAATGGGATACAAGTAGAAGTTCCTGTAACAGTTTTCAGAAGATTTCCTAAAGGAACAATTGGTATTAGCTGTTGGCCCCTTCTTACTTCTTCCTCCATCCGGCTGCTTGGATACAGATGTGATGGCCTCATCTCCATCTCGAACTATGAAGACAAGGACCTTAGGGAAGGCAGAATAAAGGCCAGAGAAGAACTCAGTCCTTGAGGACTTTGAGAAGCATTGCTACCATCCAGCCTTAGATTACTACGTTACTTTCCTAGGGTTGCCATAACAAATTACCACAAACTGGCCAGGTGCAGCAGCTTACGCCTATAATCCCAACACTTTGGGAGGCCAAGGCGGGCAGATCACCTGAGGTCAGGAGTTTGAGACCAGCCTGACCAACATGGAGAAACCCCATCTCTACTAAAAATACAAAATTAGCCAGGCGTGGTGGCACATGCCTGTAATCCCAGCTTCTCGGGAGGCTGAGGCAGGAGAATCACTTGAACACAGGAGGCGGAGGTTGTGGTGAGCCGAGATTGTGCCATTGCACTCCAGCCTGGGCAACAAGAGTGAAACTCCATCTCAAAAAAAATAAATAAATAAAATACCACACACTGTGTGGCTTAAAAGAGAAAAAAATGTATCCTCTCATAGCTCTAGAGGCTAGAAGTTCAAAATCAACACATAACCAAGGCCATGCTCACTCTGAAGCCTCTAGGTATGGATCCTTCCTGGCCTCTCCCGTCTCTGGTGTTTGCTGGTGTTGGGAAAATGAATTAAAAACAAAATAGTCACTTAACCCAGAAAACCTTTCAACAAAGCTAGAAGAAAAAGAAAATTTTATTAA